GTGACAGGTGCATGTGACATAATACACTAGAACCACAACAGTGCTATGTTTCACTTGTTTGATGTGGATATGTAACATAACACTAGGAACATAACAGTATTATGTTTTACTTGTGTGACAGGTGCATGTGACATAATACACTAGAACCATAACAGTGCTATGTTTCACTTGTGTATGACATGCATGTAACATACTAGAAAACATAATAACATAAAGACATAACAGAACATTCAATGGTATGAAATGAGATGAAATGGCTACCTGTTGGACTATATGGAGGTTGGCCATACATACTAGCTTTGCTACTGTTTTCACTTGTACGTCGTGGTATCCTTGGCAGAATTTTACTCTTCTCTTTTTTCCTTTTCCCAGAGCATTGGTGCTGTACTTCTGAAAGACAGGTACCTTTGTGAATATTCTGTTCACAACCTGCAAAAACAAAAACAAATTGTGTTAAAGATGCATTCCCAATTTACATATCAAAGAAAGTTTAGAAAGAACTCCTGTGTGCTGAGAGTATTGGAGACACATTAAAATTAATTCAAAATTTAAGATTTGCTTTTCAAACGAGAAGTTTGGCAACTAATATTTGCTATTTGAGATGAACATGAAAACAATTTGATTCACATTATAACAATTTATACCTACAAAAAATACATTTGCAAAAAAGTGTAACAGCAAGTAAAAAAAAAAAATTAACAATGCCTAAAAAGTATATTTATGTTCTTTTCAGTAAAAAAATATTAAACATACATATCCTGGCCTCACTTTCCCAGAAATTTATCCCACCTATAATCTCAACTTTTGATGGTATATATATTAGTCAGGGGATGATACAATCAAGATTTTCAGTGTGGGAATAAAATTTAAAACATTTAAAGCTCCTACAAATGTTACTTCATATAGAAATGGCAGCACATGGCAATCAATATATTTGTAGTTTATGGAGGGTAGAAAATAAAAAAAATAAGGGTATGTAACTTTCATAAGCATACATGGCAATATGAAAGGAAGATCCCATTGAAACCACACAAGGCAAACTCAGCATAAACTATGGTTGCCTACCCTTACCTATTTATCCACTCTTGAATAAATACATATATTGTTTTTGTCGGAGAACCTTAAAAGCAGGGGGAGTCGTCACCTGCACATGCTTCAGTTGCCCATAGCGTGTCATTGTTTACAAACAAGCTTCTACCCATGAGCCTTTGCGTTTTTAGCATGTGTTGTTATCATCGCTTGGGACTTAATTCCCGTGCGTGCTCAGGTGACGACCTTCCCGCTTCAACTCAATGTGCCGTTTGAAGAGTGGTAGTCCAGTGCAACACGTTCAGTTTGGGTCCATACAATGTATATGGATGCGAGACACAAAATTTTAATTTTACTACATGTATGTGTATTTATACTCACTCTGGCATGGTAACCCTGGTTACCGATTCCCCATAACAATCCACCACACACTGAGCAGTGTGCAATAGACTGATAGTGCACAGCAACAAAGTGATGACCTTTCACATAAGTCTGCTGAAATATCAAAAGAAATA